GAAACGTCAGTGAATACCTTAGGGTTTTCAGTGTTCTTAGCTGACAGTTCTGTCAAGATCTTCAAAATAAGATACTGGAAGCATTTGCCGAAATAGTGAATTCTTTGGCCTTCTATTTTATGAAGATAGTGGTCCGGGTCATATTTATAGACTCGCCCAGACAACTAAAAAAAATGGACCCGCGTAAGTTAGATCAGCGATATGCATGCTCTTTATCGGTTATAAATCTCAAAAAGTGTTTTAACAGGGTTCTTCTCCATGAGAACGCTTACTTAAGGTACTTTTTTAGGCAACGGTGGAGTGTAGAACCGCATTTAACTTGAGGTAGCTTGTGGACCGTGTAATGCGTTGAATGGTGATAGAGCGGGTTTTACGGTTGTGGCAACACGCAGGAAGGACAGGCCACATAAAACAAACAGATTTCTGCCGAAAGTTTGATCGTATACTGTCACATGGCAAAAAAAGTTAGCGCAATACTTACAAAAATAGACAAAAAACAATTTCCAAAAGCGGATTTTGAGTAAACCGCTGCTGGAAAGTTTACACAGAGTCTGGAATTGAGGGAAATTTTAGCTCTTTCCTGATCTGATCGGTGAAAGCTGAAAAGGAAAGCTGGCAACAGAAATAAAAGGTGTAAAAACAACGCAATTAGCAAATGCCTTTTAAGCAGGGTAAAAAAATCATGCCTGCTATGACGGTAAATGTGGGAGAAGGGTGGTGGGGAAAGGGGGAGAGAGGGCAGAGTTCGGCACCAACGATGCACCAGATTAAGATTAGATGACGAGTTAGACGGTTGAACAGGGGACAGTTTGTTGTTGAATCGGGGTTGGAGACAGGAACTCGTGACAGAGGGTAATTAGACAGGTGGATTACATCCAGGCTCTGTGAAGACGGAGCTTGAAAATAAACACAAAGAAACGACTTCGGATCCTACCGCAGTCGAACCCTGGATGCTCGGTGGGTGTCCATCTAGGGCAGAGGATAGTGAGAACCGAAGTAGCAACAACTGCAAGTATTTGAAAAGACCTTTTTCTCATGAGCAAAAGGTATCAAATGCTTAATTTATTAGTCATTTTGTTGATTGTTTGTGCCGTGAAAGAGTCACCTTCTTGAATGTCAACAAGGTAACAACAGTCATAGCGGTTTTCTTCGCAGCAAAAATGAAATTGTCTGCTGAGGTATTTGAACACGTCGGAGATAGAGATGACTGCTCACAAACATCTTTGATAAATTCTCGTCGGATTTGTACGGCAGACATCCGAGCGAAAAACCCGAAGCGTTGTCAGTAGCCCATTCATAAAAAGAAAAACGAAGCTTTTTCGGGAATGGCTAAATCTGGGTTATAATACGGAACTATATAAAGTTTTTCTAGAATTATTCCATGACTTACCAAAATCCGTAAGTCCAGATCCAATCTTGGCTGTTAGACGGCCATAAAATGGGACTTTTTTCAAATTACTTCGCCAACACCGCTCATGTTAACTTCTCGGTTTCGCGGTGATCTACAAAACCGAAAGGCTCCGCTTAATGAAACCGCCTCATGAGATATTTTGTGTTCTCCCAAACGACTAAACCTGTGAATGGATCAGGGGGACGTTGAAAGGCTTCTCAGTGCACGGCGTGGTTGCAGTGTTGATCCTACAAGAGTCGGACTGAATTGCCCTCAGCTTCATTTAGCACCGCTATACCGACGGCACAATCATAGCAAAGTTGTGAAAACTCGACTACCCTCGCGGTATTCTAACCCACGACCGTAAGGGCAGGGATTTAGTGGCTCAGATGGGTAAACCGCTAAAATACAATCAGCGCTCTAACTACCTGAACTACGAAATTCCGATGGGCACCTCAAAATTTTCCTATTTTGACTAAGTTGCTCGCCAAATATTATCACGGCTTTTAACAAAAAATCCATTGACTAGAATCTACTAAATGACTGCCAGGCACACTTTTCCATAACACTCAAAATAAGTCTGGACGGTAAATTCTCACATTATGTTCAGTGCTATTTTCTGTGTCATGTATTTTTCCAGGGAATAATGGGAGTGACAACTTTTATTTTTCACTACTTCCACCAGAGAAATACGACAGGACAAAATCGAAGCGCTGACCTAAGACAAGGTAACTAAAACAGCCATCGCCAGATGACGCACAAGCGAACCTCCATCGAAACGCTCCTCAAACGAAGCAGCACCCCTTACGTCAGTCAGTATAAACGAGCATAATAAATCCTCGTCCTCCTTTGTTAAATCCTGTGGGATGACTGCCGCACAAAAGCCGTGGCACTCTCTGTCATACTTCAGTTATACTTCCGAGGCAATAGTATGTCAGGTCTTGTTTTGTCAGATTCAACATCTTATTTTCTATTTTAATTGTCCAGCTGAAAACGAAGCAACGCATACACCAAATGACAGTGTATGGGAGTGATCAGTTCTCACATGCAGTGAGTACTGGTCATGACTTTAACTTGACAGGTATGAGGAGAAACCGGAAGACAGCTCCGAACGCGAATGACCGAACACGCCGCAGCGGTGCGGAGAAATAACGCAAGCTTTCAAGTTGCGGCTCATTCGACGAGATCCGGCCACACATTCAAATTTAACGAGGCCGAAATTCTCGCAAGAAGTGACAACCGCGTGAGCCGTGAGCTACTTGAGTCATGGTTCACTGGCTCCCAGTCCACTAACAGATGAAATGACCTTCCCATTCCATACTCGGCGCTGAGACTTCGCCGCGGGGAGCGCACAGGTGAACACTTTTCCCAACACCAGGGTCAGTGCGTCAGATGGTCGAGCAATCATCACACCAACACCCAACGCACGTGATGAAATTGCAGCAATTAACGACGCGAATGTCAGTCATCAAACAGTCATCAAACCAAGTGAAACGATCACTGATGAAGGGTGAAGCCGTGAATGTTCATAGGTATGCGATATCATGACGACTGCATCCTAAAATACTGCAACTCCCTGTGCATGAACCACCCGCATCTGCTTTTGTCTTTGATCATGGGTTCGAGCAGGAATCCAAAACGTCAGGCTAATAAAGCTCTTGTCCCAGCGATCGAGTCTCCCTCTTCAAGGTATGAGGATAATCTGCCGGACTACAGTTAAAACAAGCGGGGAACCAATAAGGGTCTGCTGCTTTGACGAGAACTCACTACGCCGCCCTGCTGGCCCACGTCCAGATGATCTGCGTCGACCGCTGATTGGCTGATAAGACCGCAGATTCTATCACTTATATGTTACTATTCTTGCCTCTAAGCCCAGAAACTCCGATAAATGAAATAGTTACCTTGGTGACCTGAAATATTTCCTTGGCTGCCATTGGGCATGACCCCTGTGACTCGAATTTCGTCCACTACATGTATCTGATATTTCCTCACCTCTGACTGACACAGCCATCATACTGCAGTATAAGCTGCGTTAGACTCTCATTGCGGTCAGATGTGGTTATGTAACCCCACCTAAAGTAAACATACTCCGTCCACCTGTAATACGGGACCGGTGGTAATAGGGGTTTCTACAGGGGATACCCGGGGAACGCACAGACGACGAGGCCAAGTAGTTGTATGCAAAAGAAAAGCTATTGAGAATGCGCGTCTGTACTTTGAGTGGTTGAGAAATAGTCGCGCTAACCCCTAACCTTAATCAAAAACGCTAACCACTAACTCTAACCCCTAACCCCAACCCCATCAGTATTGCGTCCATCAGGTGGGACTACATAATCAGATCTTACCCGCATTGCAAATCAACGATAAGAAAGTGCTGACCGGTTGCCTGACAGCATTGATGGAATATTTCGTAGCGCATCCGCCCGTAGAGTGCTCCGCCGGAACTGCCGCTAGCAGTCCTTCTGCGCGGCAGCCATACCTAATTTACAATTTGCCGCAAGAATTACCCGGCGGGCTGTCTAGACAGACGGGCGATGGACTTTGCACAACAGCCGCACCGAGCCTTCTGTTCGTTGCCTCAAGGTCAGCAGATGCCCTTCAATCGGACAAACGAAATTTAAGCGCGCTGCTTAAGGTGGCGCAGATGAGGCCGTAATTGCTTCCGTTGCGCACACTAAAGGAAGCCTGCCTTCGTTTCGGATAAGTAGGTTTTTTTTTTGTCTTCGTCATCACGTATGTAGTGACGTAGGACTTTATAGGCCGCAGGAAATTCTAGATGCCTGTTGATTGAGTTGGCATCTGAGTACCAAGCTTCAAGTGTGAGACGAAGACAAGACAGTCATACGGAGCCAAAGACTACCGAGCAAACACGGCCTGTCGACTAATTCATCCAAAATGAGGACACGAATGCAACTAACCTCAATTGAGGTGACGACATAACACAGGAGGCTACCAACACTCACAAACGACGGCCAGTAGGCCAAGGCAACAAATAAAGAAAAAAATCGATCAGCCCAAGGACAACTAATTCGGCTGTGTATTCATAATTCCGATCGATTTTTAGCACTAGACTCTTTGATAATGGAGGGCTGCCCAAGCTCTTCGAAACGTCAGCCAAACAATTTCCTCGATCCCGTGAGTAGTTCCCTTTCCTCAGATATATTCTACAGTCATAAGGAGTTCCCAAATTGGAATAGTATTTGGGCTGATCTATCCCCTTTTTCGAAGAATCAGTATCTTTTAGTGGACTACCACCTCGAATTCAAAAATAACATGAGGCATTTATTTATTCTGTCTTTTTTTAAAAAAAGGCAATGAAATCGAAAATTGTTTAGTCGCAAAGACGCTGACACATTAACGGCCATGGCAGGTCAGAGGAATCTTGACCTCTCGCCGTATTACAAGTAGCCCTGAGATAATACCCGGAGGTTAATTTTCGGGTAAAGAGGGCTGGGAAAGTGCAAGGGCTAGAGCACGGAAATAGGTATCCCTGGAATCTAGCGCAAGTCCACCCGCAGTACAGGGGAGGGTCCATATACCCGTGTCTGACTGCGGCGATTCCTGGCGTATTTGCCTTCATCAGCTAATGGTGCCCCAGTTCCTGACTGCACACCCGAAATTTGAGCCCCTGCCGGTTGATCGTGTAGTTACGCCTCGTGGCCGGGCTATGAGCCCAGGCCAGAATGATTGACATCGGAAAATTGGGTTTTAGTTGCTGGGCGACGACCCGCGTGGACTGTAGACCCCCAACCCCGGGGAAAAGCCGTATTACTCACCTCCGTTCTGGGTTACGTCACTGCCATGTGACTGACCAATTCAGATCTCAGTCTACCTGACACGAGCACGTTAGTGCAGTGGTGAGTACATCGCTCGATGATAAACCGTCTCGGATTCGAATCTCGGTCATGTGCCCCCCCCCACTGATATGAGCTGTCAGTGAGGAATGACAAAAACAAACCAGACGTGATCATTCTAGTGTCCCCGTGTTTGTCGGAAAAACTTCTGAGCTACTGATCTGTAGTCGTCATGTCTGTGTGAGCTCTGCTCCTAGAAAAAACCGAAACGACCATTTGGTCCCACAATCAGGCTAAATCAGCACACGCAATTCTGGCATATATTATGCGTTTACGCATGAAATCACCATAAGCCAGTTAAACAGCCTCAGGGGATAAACAGAACACATCGGTGGGAATATTCTCACTGATGCAAAAAGTAAATTTGGACCACATACAACGTCTATTACTACTGCGTTCCTAGCAAAGTATTCTTGATAGTATATCAGCTAAGGGGCATTTTATCGTTTGGAGATTTTAGTTCGTGTGAAAAGCGTTCATTTGCCAAATTCGCTCCCACGGTCACCTCGCAAAATGTGTTATGGTGAATATATTCGTTCGCGATGGTAAAAATGTTGTATTATTTAAGTAAATTTTCTTGACTCCAATTATTTGCTGGGACCCGTCTAAATATGAGTTTAAGACTTTGAAAATTTCACTTGAAAACAGGATGACATCTTGAAAATGAACTTCAAACTCGGACCCAACCGTTTTACGGAGCCAATTTTTTGGAATCTGATCAGAGGTCAACTAGGGCAGTTGTACCGAAGACTTGAAAACACACGGTGATCAAAGTTCTAACTTTGATGCGGAATAGGAATCCGTCAGGTGTGTTTTCAAAACTGAGTCACTGAATACAATCGAGTTATAAACGGCAAATGCAATTTTACATCGACATATATGCAATGAGATTTTGTGGCTAGCTATCTTGCTTTGATAATCAAAGTAATGAAGCTGGGGATGCTTACGTGCCTTCATTGATGAGATGATGGTGGTAGCTGCGGTGACGACGACTGGAATGAGAAAGGGGAGGAGGGGAGNGCATCTCGATGCCTGCTTTCACATTCATCTCTCCGTCCAGATCTGGTGCCTTCACATCAAGGCTAGGCAATTCAACATCACCGGGCACAGAGGCCTGAATATCGACAGTGGGCACGTCGACAACCACCGGACCCGCCTTTATGGACACTTCCGGCACTATGCCGGCGTCAACATCGAGCCCTGCTTTTGCACCATCAATGTCCAGTCTGGCCTCAGGCAGTCGGATGTCAGTGTCCAACTTCATGCCAGCATCCACCTCAGGCAACTCAGCAGTCACTTTGGGAACTTCAACTTTGACCGACTTGTCAAAGTGCCATTTAGGCATCTTCAACTTGAAGGACGGCGACTTGCCATGCACGTCAACCTTGCCGCCAGCGCCCACGTCCATATCAGTGTCCACATCTAGCTTCAATTCCGTCGATGGCACATCCACCCCACCAGACACGTCCAAACCAGCATCCACATGTGGCGTCTCTAATTCTGCCTGCGGTATCTTCAATTTGCCCGACTTGCCCATCTTCCAGTGCGCATGTGGTAGTTTCACTTTGAAGGACGGCGATTTCGGCTTCTTCAGGCCAATCTTGCCACCAGCATCCACGTCCAAATCGGCGTCTGCATTCACGTCAATGCCCGCAGACGGCACTTCCACGCCGCCAGACACGTCCAAACCAGCATCCACCTCAGGCAACTCAGCAGTCACTTTGGGAGCTTCAACTTTGACCGACTTGTCAAAGTGCCATTTAGGCATCTTCAACTTGAAGGACGGCGACTTGCCATGCACGTCAACCTTGCCGCCTGCGCCCACGTCCATATCAGTGTCCACATCTAGCTTCAATTCCGTCGATGGCACATCCACCCCACCAGACACGTCCAAACCAGCATCCACATGTGGCGTCTCTAATTCTGCCTGCGGTATCTTCAATTTGCCCGACTTGCCCATCTTCCAGTGCGCATGTGGTAGTTTCACTTTGAAGGACGGCGACTTCGGCTTCTTCAGGCCAATCTTGCCACCAGCATCCACGTCCAAATCAGCGTCTGCATTCACGTCAATGCCCGCAGACGGCACTTCCACGCCGCCAGACACGTCCAAACCAGCATCCACCTCAGGCATCTCCACATCCACCTTCGGACCCTTCACCTTGCCCGACTTGCCCATCTTCAAGTGCGCGTGCGGCATCTTTACCTTGAATCCACCCATTTTGCCAATGCCGCCAATCTTGCCACCAGCATCCACATCCAAATCCGTATCGGCATCTATGACTACCTTCGTTGAAGGCACGTCAACTTTGCCCGACACATCAAGGTCTGCCTCTGCCTGTGGCATCTCCACATCCACCTTCGGGGCCTTCGCCTTGCCCGATGCGCCAAGCTTCAGGTGAGGATGAGGCAGCTTCACCTTCAAGGATGGAAGCTCAAACTTGCCACCAGCATCCACCTTCATGTCTGCGGCAGGCGGCTCAATGTCCAGATGTGCCTCTGGCATCTCGATGCCTGCTTTCACATTCATCTCTCCGTCCAGATCTGGTGCCTTCACATCAAGGCTAGGCAATTCAACATCACCGGGCACAGAGGCCTGAATATCGACAGTGGGCACGTCGACAACCACCGGACCCGCCTTTATGGACACTTCCGGNCCCACGTCCATATCAGTGTCCACATCTAGCTTCAATTCCGTCGATGGCACATCCACCCCACCAGACACGTCCAAACCAGCATCCACATGTGGCGTCTCTAATTCTGCCTGCGGTATCTTCAATTTGCCCGACTTGCCCATCTTCCAGTGCGCATGTGGTAGTTTCACTTTGAAGGACGGCGACTTCGGATTCTTCAGGCCAATCTTACCACCAGCATCCACGTCCAAATCAGCGTCTGCATTCACGTCAATGCCCGCAGACGGCACTTCCACGCCGCCAGACACGTCCAAACCAGCATCCACCTCAGGCATCTCCACATCCACCTTCGGGGCCTTCGCCTTGCCCGATGCGCCAAGCTTCAGGTGAGGATGAGGCAGCTTCATCTTCAAGGATGGAGGCTCAAACTTGCCACCAGCATCCACCTTCATGTCTGCGGCAGGCGGCTCAATGTTCAGATGTGCCTCTGGCATCTCGATGCCTGCTTTCACATTCATCTCTCCGTCCAGATCTGGTGCCTTCACATCAAGGCTAGGCAATTCAACATCACCGGGCACAGAGGCCTGAATATCGACAGTGGGCACATCGACAACCACCGGACCCGCCTTTATGGACACTTCCGGCACTATGCCGGCGTCAACATCGAGCCCTGCTTTTGCACCATCAATGTCCAGTCTGGCCT